GGCCCGCCTGCCCCCCCCCGGCCGCGGTGCTCGCCGTGGGGCCCACTGTGGGGCGGTGGGGCTGCCTCAGCCCCCACGGGCACCCCAGAACATCTCGGTTGGGCCGAGCGGGATGGCGGCGGCGGCCCTGTGCCAGGGGGGCGGCCGCAGGAAGGAGCCGGTTCCTCGCTGCCCAACGATGCGCCTGCTCCGCCGCGGCACCCGGCTCCGTTTCCGGAGCCCCACGGCCAGGGCTGCCCCTCCTGCGTGGCCACCTCCTTGCTCGTGGGTCCCCCTGGCATTGCCCCAAGGCGGCTGCCACCGGGAGCTGGGTGGGACACCCCGAGACCCCTGGGGGTCCCCCACCTGCCCTGCCCCAGGGGAGTGGGTCCTACCCGGTAGGTGGGGGGTGGCAGGGGCTGGACGCGGAGCAGCAGGCAGTCGGACAGGCAGAGGTTGCTGTTGCGGTAGCAGCTGAGGTCCTGGCACCCCCACACCAGCTTGTAGACCTCCAGGCACACCAGCCCGGCCACGGCCGCCGTGGTGGTGATGATGGCGGGCACAATCCGCCCGGCAATCCGCTTGCTCTGAAGACAGGAGAGGTGTCACCAGCTGCCCCATGTGGGACGGGGACCTGTGACCCTGCGGGCTGCCCCCCTCACCGTCAGCCAGTCGGCGAGTGGGATGCCGTAGTTCTCCGCGCGCAGGTTGGACGCTGCCGTGATGAAGTCCACGTGGATGTTGTTGTCCTGCAGGGAAGAGCGCAGGGACATCAGCCTCTTGTGGGGACATCGACGTCCTGTGGGGACTAGCGACCACCAACCCCCAAGCTGAGCAGGGCCGCCTGCCCGGCCCCAGGTACCTTCTCAAAGTGGATGGGCTCCATCAGGGGCACTTGTGCCTCCTCACCCCCTACCAGCTCCTCTCTCCGCTGCACCAGATCCTGGGTGAGCTCTGCCAGCCGCCTGCAGTCTGGGGGCACAAAGACCACTGGGGTGGGACCCCTGCACCGTGGCACTACGGGGGGCATGGCACAGTGCCCACCCTCTCGGTCCAGGTCCTCCCAGGTGCTGGGGCAGGGACGAGCAGCGCTGCAGCCCCACCGCCACCAGGCTGGACCTGGGGACATGCCCTGGGGGACCCAAGGGCACAGGGAGCCTCACCCGCAGGCGCCTGTGCCTCCTCCTGCTCCTCCGCGAGGGAGATCTGGAGCCCCTCCTGGGGCACGAAGGGCGGCAGGACCACGCTGCGGAGGATGGTCTGGGCGGCCGCCCGGTCGCTGCACGGTGGCAACTTGTGCGCTTGGGCAAAGAGGTGGGCAGCGGCCAGGATGTAGTCCAAGTGGGCGTCCTGTGGGAGCAGAGGGTCCAGGCAGCCAGGGTGGTCCATGAGCCCACATGGCCAAAGGCTGCCCAATTTGCCCCAATGTGGAGACGGAGGTGCCTCTCTTCCTCCTGCAGCAGAGCACGCGTGGGCTGTCCCCAGCAGTGCCCCGGCCAACTAGGGGATGGGGACAGACCAAGCCCAAGACCTGGCAGCCCCGGACAGGCGGTAGCAGATAGAGCACGACTATGGTCCGGCATCTACGGTACCCCTGGCACAGACTCAGCTCTCCCCCCACGCACACTGTCCCCACTGGGGGGCCCCGCAACTCTCCCCAGCACTCACGTTGTCAGGGTTGAACGTCAGTGGATGGGGACAGCTCCTGTCCCCTGCCCAGAAGGGGACACCCGGGCTGGTTTCCTGGCACAGAGGGAAAGCAGAGTCAGGCCTGGGGACACCATCCCCATGACCGCGGTGACGGAGCCGGCAGAGGGGAAAGGGGTGGCTGGCAGAGGGGAGAGGGCACGAGGGGGTGCCAGCCCCGTGGGTGCCGTGCTCACGTGCTCCGGGGGGAAGGTGTGCAGCAGCTGGGCGATGGCATCATGGTAGCGGCTCTGCCAGTGCTGGCGGGCCCAGCGCACGCAGTCCTGCCAGTCCCGTGGCCGCTCCCACAGGCTGCCCCGCACTTGCTCCAGGACCTCCAGGGCCTTCCCCGCTGGCAGCTGCTCCAGGAAAGCTGGGTCTCTGCAAAACCAGGCGCCGCTGCTGCTGGCCCAGGAGCAATCCCGTGGGACACCCTGGGCGGGATGAGTGGTCTGTCCCCCTCTCCCCAACCCCAGCAGCAGCAGGCAGCGCCCCGGCGGGGCCGGCAGCCCCTCTCCCAGGGCCACTCCCCTAAGCCCACTCACTCCATGAACCGGTTGACATGCTCCGCGGGCAGCTGGAAGAGCCCCTCAAACTCATCACGGGCCCACTGTGGAGGGGGAGCAGGGGTTGAGCACTGGGACCCCCATCCTGTGGCCCCCAGGACCCCCAGCCCAAGCCCAGGAGAGGGCGAGGCTGTGCTGGGGCTGGCAGCAGAGCTCAGGCTCCCAGCAGGAAGCAGCTGGGGCCGCATCCTGCCCGTGGCCCGCTGCCAGGCCACGGCCGGAGGGGGAAATGGGAAAGGAAGACAAAGGTCCCAGTACCTCCTTGCTGGGTGCTGGGGCTGGCGTGGCACAGCCTACCTGCAGCGTGTGCTGGATGGTGCGGGGGAAGAACCGCAGGGTGCAGAGGGGGAAGGTGCTGTCCCCAGGGGCGCCAGCCGGCCCCAGCGGCTTGGTCAGGGGGGGCACCATGGCCAGCACGTTCCCCCGCGGCCCCTCCGTGCCCGAGTCCAGCAACGGTGTGAGGCAGCGCTGGCAGCGGCTCTCCAAGTAGGCACCTGTGGAGAGCCAGAGGTGCTGGGGAGCTGGGGGAGCACGTCCCGGGGCTCAGCCCCTTTCCCCTCCCTGGCACTCACGGGCCTCCAGCGTGTCCAGGGCGCTGACGACACCATCCAGGCACCGGAAGAAGTCGTCCCCGTAGAGTGGCTCGGTGGCAGGTCCCACCTGGTTCTGGTGAGCCACCACCCTGACGCTGGGGTTCATGCGCCGCACGGCTGCTGCGGCCACCACCGACTTCGGCTTCTGCCAGGACAGAGAGGGGTGGGCGGCTCTCCCCCACCCCACGGCCCCGGGGAGCCCCCCGGGACAGCCAAGGTGCCCTTTAGGGGGAGCTCGGCCCCTGCCTCGCAGCACCTCACCGATATATCCGCCGAGCGGTAGAGGAGCTGCCTGTGGAGGTTGGAAAGGGCGACGGTGTCCATGTCGGTGACAATGAGGTCCCCGCCTGGCCCTGCTGCCAGCCCCATCATGGCAAAGTTTTTCAGCAGCTCACAGCCGATGGCACCGGCTCCCACCTGCCGGGGCAGAGCCGCTGCAGCTCCCCGCATGCTGGCCGGCTGCTCCGCAGCCTCTCCTGGCACCGCAGCGCCCGCCCCAGCTCACCACCAAGTACTTCTGGTGGCCCAGCTGCTCCTGGAAGGTGGCCCCGAAGACAGCAATCTGCCCATCGTAGCGAGAGCCCGTCTGCCGGGACGGAGGAGCCACGTCAGCGCGGGTGGTTGCGGCACCCCCAGTGCCCAGGACGGGCTCGGCGCGTGCTCTCACCGGGGCGCAGTCCTCCTCCGTCAGCCGCGTGGCCCCCTCCAGCGCCAAGCACTCCAGGGCGTCAAAGTACAACCACTGGTCCAGGGGCAGGAACTTCCTGGTGATGGCCTGGGGTGAACGGAGCTCCGTCAGCTCCGCGTCCAGCGAGGTCCCCCTGTATCCCACCCCAGTCCTGCTGCCCAGCCCTGCACCTGGTCGCCAAGTGCTACCGGACAGTCATGAGGAGCATGACCAGCGGGATCCCAGGGCCCAGGACCCTCGCCCCACTCACCTTCAGCACCTCCTGGGCTGCCAGGGCCCCGACGATGGCGGCCACGGGGCACAGGTCCCCCGCGCTCACGCTGGCGAAGGCTCGCACGATGTCCTCGTCCAGGGGACCCTGCTGTGCGCCCAGGCTCCGCGCCAGCTCCAGCACTCGCTCGGCATCCGCCTGCAAGCAGAGGGGGCGAGGGCAGCCCTGGGCAGGGTGACGGCGGGGAAGGCAGAGGCAGGATGGGGACTCACCAGCACCCTGGGCCGGGGCAGGCGACCCTGTTCCCCACGGAAAGCGTGCAGGGCCTGGAAGGCAGCGTGCAGGCTGTGGCTTCGCGGCAGCTCCTCATGACTCGCCACCCGGATCTTGGGCTCTGCCAGCGCTCGGCGCAGGGGCTCCTGCCGGCACAGTGCCAGGGCTTGGGCGAGCACCTCCCCGGGGCCAGGGAACAGCACGGCATGGAACGGCGCTGCCCCAGCCCGGGCGGCAGCACCGCAGGGCCGAGGGCGGACTTACGTAGGAGTGCACCTGGGGCAGCCGCAGCTGCGAAACCAGGCCGCCACGGCGGTAGGGCGAGAAGGAGCTGGTGTCGCCGATCTCCAGCCTGAAAGCATCTGGGGACGAGAGGGGGAGGGACATCACGGTCACCACTAAGGACCCGGTGAGTTCTCCAAACCTGGGTTGGGGCAGCTGGGAACCCCTGGGCGGCTCACCCAACACGCGCACAGGGACAGGCTCCCGGCTGTTCAGCTCCGTCATCCCCTCCACGCCAGAAAATGTCACCAGGTCACCGTCGCAGAAGAGGTGGCCATGGCTGTCCTCTGCCCCCACACACGTCACCACGCCTGGGTTGCCCTGAGGAGGGGAAGGAATGTGAGGGTGGGAGACCAGAACCCGGTGGCATAAAGGCACTGGAGGAGGCAGCAGTGTTTGGGGGGAGCCATCTGAGGCTACCCTGCTACCTGGGAGATGTGCTGCACGGCAGCACACACCAGGTCCCCTTCTGCCGGGTCGTCAACGACGAAGTGCTCCCCAAAGTCACAAAACAGCTGCCTGGAGAGAATCGATGGGGTCTGCCTCACCAAGCTGCCCGAGCACTGGCAGGTCCTGCCCGGGCCAAGCAGCCCCACCAGCAGGACAGGGATGTGGCCTGCAGAGCAGGGCTGGGGGCTCTAGGGACAAGGTGACCCGGAGCCAGTGGCAGGACCCTGTGGCAGAGACCCCTTACCCCACCAGTCCCTTGGCGTCAGCCACGATGAAGCAGATGCCCTGGGCATGGCAGAAGTCCCCGACGCGGAGCTGCTCCTCCAGCGAGGATTCAGTCAGCACCACCACCTGTACCGGGGCTGTCAGCGGGCACCACCGTCCCGAGTGGGCCCAGGGCACGGGGGCACCGTCTCACCTGGAAGGAGGCGAGGAAGTCCTCTGACAGCTCCCCGATGTGAACTGCCACCGTCACGCGGGGGTTCAGCTTGGTCAGGGCTCGCTGGGATGCCTCGGCACGGTTCCGGCCTACATCACTCTCCTCCAGGAGGAACTGCAGGGTGGGCACATGGCGGGGCACTCCATGGGTTTGGGGTGCTGCTCGCCACAGCGGGGTGCTCCACGGTGACCTGTCTGCACTGGTGGGGGGACCTCTGCTGAGGACCACCATACCTGTGACATGGGACACCCCGTGGGCCCTACCTGTGACGATGAGGGGCACCCTGGGCCATACCCATCACAGGAACCTCCCATTCCACACTCTTTAGCAGGACCCCCAACGTATGCCTCTTACTGGGAGCCCCCCACCCTGTACCCATACCTGCAACAGGGATCTCCCAGCTGCACCCAAACCATTGCTGTGACCTCCACCTACACCCGTACCTGGTACCGGACCCCCACCTGTACCCGTACCCATTACCGGGACCCCTGTCTGTACCCATACGTACTATGGGGACCCCCACCCATACCTGTACCCGCTACTGGGAACCCCATCTGTTCCCGTACCCATTCCCGGGACCCCTGCCCATACCTCTGCCCGTTACCGGGACCACCACCCACGCCCGTACCCATTACCAGGATCCCCACCCATATCTGCACCCGCTGCCGGCATCCCCGCTCGTACCCGCTACCGACACCCTCCCCGGTACCCGTACCCGTTCCGGGCCCCCCCGCCCGGCCCCTCCGGTACCTGGTGGGCGCGGTCGGCGATGCAGGCGGCGCCTCGGTCGTGCAGGACGACGCGCCCGGTCCCCGCCAGCACCAGCGCCGCCGCCACCTGCGCTCCCGTCCCGCGCAGCCCCGACACCAGCACCGC